CTGATTGCTCAATGAATCTCATGAAAATTCCGAAAACCCTTAGTAGCGGAAACGTCTTCAGAAAACTGAAATCACAACAGGCAAAAAAAAAAAAAAAAATCAAGAAAGAAATAAAGGAACAGCGCGTTTTGAAAATGGCAACATTTGTTTGCTTCGCTCTAGAAGCTAAGTTGCATGGTTTCAAGTTAGCACTTGATTTAAGTGCACTTGCATATCTTAAGTCGCTTTGTAGATAACATGGCTTCACACTTGTTGGCCAAGTATAATTCTTGAAGTACAAGCTCTCAATCATCTTTCGCGGTAAAATCAGTCATGGATAAATCAAAACGCAATTGCCCACGACGTCGTGTTCTGTATTTATCTAGAATGGCTCAACAACGCTCTTTTCGGCAAAGAAACCGCCTGAAGCCTACGGTTTGGAGTCGTCGGCAAATTTGGTTTGGATTGGTCTTAGCTAACCAAGACGTGGATCCACGATATACGCCTTACTCATAAATGGTGGACGCGCGGTTAAGACTTTAGCCGAGTACACGAAAACAAGGCTTAAGAGGCCTCATAAAAACCATGGCGTTGAAATTTAATACTCACCGCTGTGTACCATTTTGTACACAAAGAGGCCCTGTTGGCCCCTGAGGGAGAAACACACTATTCGAAGAGATGTTGGTAGACTTTTTCTTATCACCGTGGCATCAAAAGTCTGTTCCTTACAACGAACAGACTTATCGAAGGATCTTAATTGGTGGTCGTTCGTCTGTCAAAACACGCGTTTTTCCTTTGAATATTTCCTGGAAAAAGCGTCTACACGAAAACGTCCTCCCCCGTCGAAATGCCATATCAGCAACAACGGGGGAAGTGTCAATTAGCTGAGTCTCTGTCCTCGGAGCATGAAATACTAGTCAACAAAACACCTAGGCCTGAAGCAGAAAACGATATTCGTGAGACGGGTACGAACTTCAATAACGAAACTGCAACGTCGTCAATTTTCGCTAAACACTAACGCTTATTCAATTAAAAAAATTCCTTCTACTGACGACGAAAATAATCGCATTAACTCTCCAGATCAATTTAGGTTACTCGACGAAAAATGAGCAGACCTTGAAAATAAGGTTTCGGATTTGGAAGGCAAGAATCGAACGCCTAATTCAAACGCCTCTCTCAATCGGTTTACCTCTGATGAGGCAATGTTATATTCTATAGAGGCTTCCCTAAATATAAAGCGTTCTTGGCAACCTTGTAATATTTAGATCTAGGGAGTAATGGAGAAAATGTCCATACTGATTGTCATGTGATAATGACATATCAGTCGGGACATTATCTGTCTCCGCCCCAGATCGGTGTCAAAAGAGGGAGGCCAAGATTACTCGACTATTACTTTGTGTCGCCTAAGGCAGGGATTTGGAGAAACCCACCTTTCTCACCTGTTTATTGTTTCGCAGGCAACAGTTAGTAGGATTGTTATCAGTTGGATCATTTTAATGTATCTTTGATTTGGAGTGATTATATCTGCCCTTCAAGAGAAGAAGTGTCAACAAAACAAATCCTGAAGATTTCAGGAAAAAAAAACCCAGCACTAGGTTATACTTGACTGTACTGAAGTGAAGTGTTGCATGCCCAGTAGCTTGCAGTAGCTACACTGTTTGTGCTTCAGCTCAGGCATCTATTTTTATGGTCTTCTGGCCATTCAGTCCTGAAAAAATTGCCAAATTGTTGAAGAAGTCTGAACGATGACCTAACAAGTGGTCAAAAGTAAAGACCCTAGAAGACAAACCAAGGAGTGAATGGCCGTTTTTTCACAAACTGTGTGAAATATTATCGAAAAAGCTGTAAGTATATGCGTAATAATTCCACAAAACAGAAAGGTAAAAAAATTTCAACTTCACATTATCGATCAAAGTTTCGAGCACAACGGTATGGGGATAAGTTACCAAAAAAAGTTTGGAAAGCCTTGAAGAGAAAAAAGCAGTGCACACTTCATGCAGGCATGATGTCAGAAGGATTTGCCAACTTTACAACGAAGAGGATCGGCCGGCAAACTCACGTGATATGAACCCCCTAGAGACCATCTGGATTAACGTCGACGAGACAAAGTACAAAGATCCATCCCCCTAAACACTGGACAAACTAAGACAGTGATTACGCTTCGCCTAGAAGAATGTGACTTTGGACACGCGTTTGGAGTTTGTACGTTCTATACCTCAGAAAATATATAAGAAGACATTCTGGTTACTAATATTTTAGTTATCCCGGATACAGGGTGTTTCAAAAGTTCGTTCCGATTTTTTATTTGCTTAAATTTCACTAATTATTAAAAAAAAACCTTTATTAAAACTTAGTATGTCATTCATTATTCATTTAAGATTTGCAATGTTAAATGAATAATGAATGATATACTAAGTTTTACAAAAGGTTTTTTTCAATAATTAGTGAAATTTAAGCGAATAAAAGATCGGAACGAACTTTTGAAACACCCTGTATATTTTCGCTCTATTACTCGCGACCGATCGCCACTGTCGATGTTCTTCCAAAACAAAAACAATTAAATACTGTTTAAAACACGAAGCAAAACCTCATCCGTGGCAAAACTAAAAGACCGCAGATGGCGTTTCATAACAAGATGATGTGCCGTATTTTATTAAATGCGTGCAACTCGTGCAAGGTGTTATGCTAATTTCAATCACCACCACCCTTCTTTTTTATTTTGACAAAACATCTCATATGTCTTTCTATTTCTTAAAAAACCTCAAAATTAGTTGCACCTCAGTTGTTACTATTTACTTTGTTGTGTTTTAGTGAAAAAACGAAGAAAAAACTTTCCAGTTAACTTTCAATAAGTTTGTTTACATGCGGTTGCCGGATTTGCGACGCATTGCGCGAATCACCATGGCGCTTTGCACCCAGTAGGCAAAGTTTGAAGTATATACGTCAATATATTCAAATATATCCAGCGAATTTTTTGTTTATACGTTATGATAAATTTGCCCCCTTTAATATTAATATACATAAGAATGTTAAAGTTGAGTAATTGTGAACCTTTTTAAACGGAACAGCGAAAGGCGATAAGGTCAACACTTTCAAATTGAACTCGAATTTAATTGGGTTTAATGTACTACTAACAAGTTTGACTTATACGCATACAGACATAAGCATATGAAATCAAACTGTTCATCATCATTTCTTTGAAAACAAATTAACTTGTTTCACACTTAAATTACTAAGCTTAAATTACTAGCCTGCGCATGCGTAGCAGGTGTCGAAAGGGGTAGGGGATTGTGAGGAAGGAAAAGAGGGAGGGAGATTGTAGGGAGAGAGGGTAAAGGACGCCTGCTATAACAGCCCACTTTTGTTCATTTCTGATTGGTTGATCTGTAATAAGTAACTTATTGACGTGCATTAGTAACAAACAACCATGATGCAAAATCACGGGAAACGTGTTCTACTGGCACAAGCTTTGGAAGGTCAAAATATTACCCCAATCATGTAGGAAAGTCATGTTGAAAACTGAACTAGAAGCAACCGTAATAGCTTGTTTAGAACTAGCAAATGGTCACGACGTTTGGTATACTGGATTTTTCCAAACGTCGAGCGGCGATTCGAGGCAATTCTTGTCATCTGCACTGCCGATATTCACAGTCAAGAGCACAGGTTACAACTATTGGACGAATTTTAGAAGCTGGACACGCGACTTTTCCGCAATCTTATACCGCCTTGAGTGAACTTCGAAATGCTTTGTAAAGAAGAGAGTTAAAGCTTCGGTAACAATTATCCGTTTAGCTTTTTAACAAATGCATATAATTTCCCTTTAATAAATTAATCGCCGTTCAGGCTGGCGACAGTTTTGTACTTTGCGACTATGGAGTTTGATGAGGCAAGACCAAAGGTTTTTTCTGTATTCACAAGAAACTGATTTACTGTTTGTCGTGTTTGCTGAGCAAGAACAGTAAAAATGTGGCTATTTTGCACGATTATGATATCATTTTAAAAAAGCCTCTCGACTTGACAACTTCCTGTTAACAAAGAAATTAAGTTTAGACCATGCTGAGAAGCGCCCCCCTAGTTAATTGCGATTGATCACGTGTATCGGATTAGTGAGGAAATTAGTGGGCGGAACACAAGAACACGGGCTATTATAGGAGGCGCTCCCCTCCCTTTTCCCTTTTTCATTAATCAAATATCTCACACCTCTAATTTCAGTGGTCGACTAAAACAATATTATATTGCCTTTTGTTTTCAGGGATAGGGGCATTATTATGTCACCGTTTCTATAGTTTTCACAGCCAATTGTGTGAGCCGTTCAGTGAGGTGCTGCTTGAACCCCCTTTTCCCTTACTCCTTTCTAAAAATTACAGATAGAAAAGAAGGGTTTCCGGTTTTCAAAAAAGGAAAATTTCGCAGGCCTTCAAACACACCAGAAGAGTGGAAAGAGCGCTCATGCCAGTCCTATTCCTCATCACACATCACTTGAAGGCGGAGTGCTTGTTTCATCGCCCAAACATTTATCCGCCTTAGTTCAGTCTTTTGCTTCCGTCTCCCTTCTGAACTTCCGGCCTCTCAAATGACCAGGTTTTCGGTCGCTAAAACATAAGAAACATCTGCTTTCCAAAACCGGTGACAATTATTCCATGAAACTCTTAGCTAATAGATTTTAACAGTCTGACACGTGACCAGATTTCGCAAAAGGCCCACTGAAAGCTTTTGACGCTTTAGACAATTTTTTTCAAGGTGAAGAACCTCGCACAAAATGTCTTTCAAGACTGTCCTGTTTGCTTTCACTATCCTAAACGCTAAATTCTTCCGCATATCTAAAAACCTGTGCGATGGCGTAAGATTTCACGGGGACGCAAAGTTTCAATTTCCCAGCGTCCTGCCAAAAGGTTCTGATTATTGGAAAGACCTTGTTTGCCGTTTCGCAAATTGTCTCCTCAACTCAGACAACAACTCTATAAACAGGCCATTGCGAGAAAACTATCCAAGACGCAATCATGGATCTTGGATATATGTAAGTTACTTTTCCCGTCATATCTGAATCAACAACCATAACATTTAAACGGCTGCCACGGCCTGTTTTGGTCGTCAAAGAAATTTCCTCAGGTACTGCAAGCCAGATGTTGAGGGCTCTTGGACAGATATGGAAACTATTCGCCTTTTGCCTTATAGCTGCCGCATGGTCGGAAATCATAATTTGGTTCTTTGTAAGTAGTTCATTACTAACGAAAATACTTCCATTATTTGGAGAGAACACTAGTCATTAAAAAAATGCTTTAACTATTGCGATCACGTTACCTTTCATTTTTTATGAAAAAGTTCAAACCGCGGTTCTACATTTGATAGGGGAAATGATGGCAAACAGTCATTGTACACATCAATAATGACGATAGTCAATAGTGCCATGAACTACCACAGTTCAACAATTTTGTCGCCATGCTTCCATTCAGCATGACATTCGTTTGGTGTTATTGGGTTGGAACGGTTAAATGCTAATATTTTTTGTTTATAGGATCACAAAGCAAACTCCGGACATTTCCCTCCATCATTTTGGATCGGCATACGTGAAGGCTTATGGTGGGCCATTGTTACCGCGACAACCACGGGGTAAGTACTTTTATATATTTGTTTCGGGTAGCAGGATCTTGAAAGAGGAGTTATTGTTTCTATAGCAGAAACCTTTAAGATAAATTTTTTCATCATCAACAGTCAAGAAATTAATATTTATCATTTTATAACAGTCAACCACCTACGTACTGCAGTCCACTCGTGCTTTTAGCGCTTCTAATATTTCAGCTGCGAAAATTATCCCACTGAAATCAATTTGATGTAGCACTAAATTGCTATCGATGTCATATACTGATTATAATAAATTAGCTCGCCCGGAAACGTAAATTGAAGCCAAAGCATGCATATTCTTCACCCTTTTGAGTGAAATTTGCATGATACATTTGGCACGTTTTCCAATTATACTTTAGTAATTACGGCGACAAGACTCCATAATCAATCTGTAATTGCTAGAGCGGCGCTTCACTTTACTATAAATATTTGCTACGTGCAAATATTTTGACAGTGGTGTGCAAACGGTTACCTCGTGGGAAGGATGCAACCCATAAGACTTTGTAAACTTGAATTCGACAGCCATTTTGGCGCTTGCGTAGCCTCGACAATGCCTCATATGTACACCCAAAAAATAGCAATAATTTTCGATCACATATTTAAGAGCCATAATGGCTTTTCATCACCGTCGATTAATTAGGCCTGGGAAAAAAATAAGGCCGAATTTTTTGCGTTCGAGAACTTTACTTTACAAAATCTTGTCAACAAATCTGAGTGCTCGTAAACCAACCTTTCATACCATTTATATTTCACATCTGAGGTGAAACAGTACTATGAGGCACTGTTTTTATCATACAGACCTCGGACAGAATGCAGTATTTCACAATTTTGCAATACAAACTGCACTCATTCAATATTCAGGACGATCGAGGCAGGCGTGGGCTTTTAACTAAACCGTTAAACATCTGTGGCCATTTCGGAGTTGCGTAGGGAACTGGGGCGAGTTTCAAATTTAAACTAATCGATAAACTGACACCACCATATAAAAGGTCATGTTGAGATTGGTCATTTGACCAAGTTTGGCGCTCTAAGGTTGAACAGGGATCAAGTTATGACTCTTGAAACATGTTTAAAGATCCATACAAACCTCTGTAATTTGGTGACAGCGTCCCCCAAAACCATATAAACTCTTATTTTTTTTCACGATTTCTGTGATATTCCTAAAAATGGGCAAACACAGTGATTTTCGAATTAGTTCCTTTCAAGTAGAAGATGCATGACGAATTTTACAGTTTAAAAGAAAAACTGAAAAATTTTAAAGGGTTTATATGGTTTTGGGGGACGCTGTCACAAAATTATAGACGTTTGTATGGATCTTTAACCATGTTTCAAGAGTCATAACTTGATCCCTGTTCAACCTTAGAGCACGAAACTTGGTCAAATGACCAATCTCAACATGACCTTTTATATGGTGGCGTAAGTTTGTCGATTTGTTTAAATTTGAAACTCGCCCCAGTTCCCCACACAACTCCGAAATGGCCAATATACGGCCAGCCGGTTCTCATTTTGCAGTGCGAGCTGTGGTCGAGTGTTTGATTGAACATTAATAGAGTTACGCTCCAACATAATAAGGAGTTTATTATGTTTATTTTCATTTAATGGTTTTATCGATGTGTAATCTTTAAAAGCGTTTGATACGCGCGGCATTTTGAGTACTCCTGGAAAAAAAAAAACGGCACAGCAATTAAAATTAAAAGAGAGACAACTAACAATCAATTAAAGAAATATAATTCGGTGAAACATCTTCAGAAACAACAATTTTTATTCACGAAGACAAGCATTAAAGTGTCTCTAAGCTTGAGCTTGAGTCTTCAAGCTTAAAGCTTAAGTTTATGTTTTAATTAAGCCTGCTTCCCGGTGTTTGCCGTTTTCAAAGATGAACTCGCGGATCGAGGCAAGAAAATCGCTCAAAGCTTTCTTTTACAGCCAGAATTATAGCTAAATATTCTTTGGAACGTTTTCTTTCATTTGTGGTTAGCTAATGTCTAAAGGCTTCTTAAAGCTCTGTAAGCTTATTAAATCAAACCTGATACTCAAACCTATATATGCTCAGTCAGATCATTTTCTCAAATCTTACAAACGTGCATCGACTAAATAGCCGCATAAACTACGCTCGACTTCATTAAATTAGATATAAAAAACAAACATCAAATACAATAATTACTCAGGCTTACCATTGAAGATGCAGCTCCCGAAAAGTATCAAGTAAGGCCAGCATCGCTTCAGACTTTTCAACCCTCTTACGCATCAAGCAAGGTCAAAAACGAAAACGGTGCCATCCGAAATCGGATTTCCGACTTTGACAAGTGACGTATTTCTCAACAAAAAACCCAGTAAACAAACTAGCCATGAATAACAGAAGTCTCCTGATATCAGCTGAATTTCATTTTGTACATCCAGTGGAAAAAGACACTTAAAAACATCACAAGTTGACACAAAACTCAGTAAAGTAAACAAGATTCAAGATGCTGCATAAATTTTCAGCATGAACTCACCCGTCAAATTTTGACCAATCAGAGCTTAAAAATTGGGCGTAGAGCGTGACTAACGAGTGACCACTGTGAGCAAAGTCAAGAGCAACTGCGAGGCTGAATTTTCGCGTCCGAGGTCAGTTTAAAATCAAAATGTTAATTGTGCGGCACATACACACAGCATATTTCGTATGAATTTTTTTTAAAAAATTAAGCTTGAGCCTGCGATCATTTGAAGACTAGTGACTTGTCGGCGGATAACTTCAAAAAATACTTGACCTCGATGGGTCGACACGTGAGCCCGCGATATGGTTAGGTTATACTGGTCAGCGAATACCCTGTTTTGACAGCTGTCAATTGATTACAACATTGATGTCCAATATGAGTGCATTATCAGTTTTCCCGTGCTCCCAAACTAGCTAGAAAGTATGAGATTGAACATTGATCGCGATCTAATAAAACAATTAACTGGTCAGCGGGCAGCTTCCAAATAAATCACGTCACCTCGATGAGTTGACAAACGAGCCCGCAATATGATCATGTGATACTTACTGGTCAGTGGCTATCCTGTTTTGGCAGTGGTCAATTGACCACATTGTAAATGTCCAATATAAAAGATGTGGATTTGCCAAGACACGCCTGAGACACCCCTCCCTTCCTTTTGATAGTCTCCCCTACCACACCCGTACAATCTGTAGACGCGAACGCTCGATCAGTCACGTGACAACCAAACGAAAAGAGGTTGACCATATTCTACGAGTATGGGACTCTGTCCCACGCGCGCTATGACTGGTCGTAGCAACTACTGATCCGTGACAGAGCCCTTCGATATCGTAGAAAAATGGGCAAAAGTTATTGAATATTACAGTTATTGTTGTAGTGTTTCGGAAAATAAAACCGTTCGAAGCATAAACCTTATTTAAAAGGGGCGCAATTTATACACACTGAGAAAACACCTGACATCAGTGGTTCCCCGCAAAATGATGACTGTGATACGACTGCAGAATGCCATACTGATGACGTATCGCTACCCAGACATGGGTTGTTCTTCTGATTGGTTGAAGCAAATTTCCCTTGCTGCACGACCAATTGGAAGCACTACCTAGATCTTGTTAGTGACACGTCATCAGTATGGCATTAGTCTGCAGTCTTTTATCGGACGTCATTTTGCGGGGAAACCAGTCTTAACGTGGCGAAATGACCGCTATTTTCGTAGCTAGGGCAAATATAATTCTCTGAATGTTTTGTACGTACATTTTCGGTATTACCACATCTTTTATTGATGTCTTGTTATTCTAAATATCAAAAGGGAAAAGTTTGATACTTTTCAAGATGGAATTGAACAGTTTACACTACTATAAAAAGATATTTGGCAATCAATGAATGAGGCTGAGTAGGATATTTAACAGTTAATGAGTGAGGCTGAGTATCTTATGAAGAATTATGGAGATGGAGGAGGGTGTTATTCGTCGAGGCCGTAGGCCGAGGCGGATAACACCCTCCGAGATCTCCATAATTCTTCATATGATACGAAAGCCGAATTCAATAACTGTTTTATTTTTCATTCAAAATAATTCCCAGTTTAAAAACATAGCTAAAACACCTCCATCGATCCATCGAAGTTCAGTTCATCTTCGATATTGTACGTTTAGGTTTGTCCAGCTCCGCAAATATTCTCCAAATAGCAGATGTCGCTCTTCGAGTTGTCTTCTTGCTGTTCTTGCCATGTTTGTAGCTATTTTTTCGCCTAGTTCTTACTCTTGAAACTAGTGAAATGTCCGCCATTTTTTCAAGTTCACAACCAAAACAACTCAACCTCGTCCCCAGGTCTTCTCGGTTAACGGTGCCTTAACCTGCGAAAACGCTGCATTTTTGACGTCATTTCCTTGTTAAAGTCGAAATTCTTCCAAATTTGGTCATCAGTAACTGGTTATGGTGAATTAATTGAATGAATAATAATAACAATTAATGAATGAGGCTGAGTATCTTATGAAGAATTATGGAGATCGAGGAGGGTGTTACGGCCGAGAGGGATAACACCCTCCAAGATCTCCATAATTCTTCATATGATACGAAAGCCTCATTCATTAATTGTTTTATTATTCATTCAAAATAATTCCTAATTTAAAAACATGGCTAAAACATGCTTACCTCCATCGATCGATCCATCGATGTTAAGTTCATCTTCGACAGTGCACGTTTAGGGTTGTTCAGCTCCGCAAATATTCTCCAAACAGCAGATGTCGCCCCTCGAGTTGTCTTTTTGCTGTTCTTGCCATGTTTTTAGCTATTTTTTCGCCTAGTTCTTACTCTTGAAACTAGTGAAATGTCCGCCTTTTTCAAGTTCACAGCGAAACAACTCAACTTCGTCCCCAGTCTTCTCGATTAACGGTGCATTAACCTGCAAGAACGCTGCATTTTTGACGTCATTTCCTCGCTAAACACAAGATTCTTCCAAATTTGGTCATCAGTAACTGGTTATGGTGAATTAAACGTGTGCTTTTAGCCAATCAGAATCGGGGAAATACTTTAAATGAATACTAAAAAGAATTAAGCAGATCGAGGAGGGTGTTATCCACCTCGGCCTTCGGCCTCCATGGATAACACCCTCCGAGATCTGCTTAATTCTTCAAATCCTACGAAAGCCCAATTCATTAATTGTTTTATTATCCATTCAAAATAATTCCTAGTTTAAAAACATAGCCAAAACATGATTACCTGCATCGATGTTAAGTTCATCTTCGATAGTGTACGTTTAGGTTTGTCCAGCTCCGCAAATATTCTCCAAATAGCGGATGTCGCCCTCAGAGTTGTCTTCTTGTTGTTTTTGCTATGTTTTTAGCCATTATTTCGCCTAGTTCCAGCTGTAGTTCTTACTCTTGAAACGAGTGAAGTGACCGCCATTTTAGTTTTCACAACGAAAACAACTCAACCTCGTCCCCAGGTCTTCTCGGTTAACGGTGCATTAACCTGTAGAAGGCTGTATTTTTGACGACATTTCCTCGTTAAACACAAAATTCTTCCAAATTTGGTCATCAGTAACTGGTTAAGGTGAATTATGCGTGTGCTTTTAGCCAATCAGAATTGGGGAAATATATATTTTGAATGAATAATAATTTAAATTAATCTTGCGTCATTTCAGAAACAGAAGAGACATGTAAGTGCTGATCCATTCAGCCAGCCACACATGGCATAGTGCATAAAATATCCTATTGTTCACTGAAATAAATTTATCGTAATTACTCGCATTCAAATTACACTGCTTTAGTGGATACTGCCGGATTATCACGTCCGTGTTCTCAACTGAAATTCAGCCTCAGTTTATAAACCCAAAACATATGATGTTATTCGAATTTTCGTATTTTTCCACTCTCCCCTAATAGGTTTTTATTAATAAGAGTTAAAGGAGTGTCTTGACGTACATACCAGGTACCAGATAATCATTCCAGCCAACACGGCGTTTAAAAAACTGATCACTACTATTGTCCACACGTCCTTCAGAAAGTAGAGAGTTTCATTTGACGACGAAGCGTTTCCATGGTTGACTTTCAAAACTGCGGGGCCTGCGAGAATCAAACAGTCCGAGAAATCTTCTTTCAAACGGTTCACCATCTCCTCGTTTGGCAAAAATCGGAAAATATACTCTTGGTTCGTCGGGTGCTGTATGGCGGATCAGGATCTCCATCTCGCAAGAGCTGTTGATATCTACTTTTTAATGAATGATCTCCAAATTTGGACAGCAGATATATATCGATATTAAGCACTTTTCTCATGTAATGTATAAGATTCCCTTCAAGAGCGTTGCTTGATGAGTTGTAGTGGGTGAATGGGTGGAATTCATGCCAACGCAGAGTAATTTTGCCAAACGATGGACAGAAATATGTGCTGCCATTGTTCCTATATGTGCTCACGCCAACTATTTCTTTAAAGTTGCAAACATTTTGTAGCAAAACAATTGTAAATATTTTACCTAATTCTGAAAGATTCAGCACACCCTTTTGCGTCATGTTTCAAAAAAAATATTGATACAATTCAACGTTACCTGTTTATCTTTTTGTCCTTTAATGACCTATGAATATGTCCACCAGTTTAACTTAATTAGCTGCAAATGGCGCTCATCGTGTCAAGATATTAAATTTTGATACATTTTAATTCATGAAAAGAAACAACAACAATAGCAGTAGCTTTATAAAAACATATATCATGACGTATTACAAGAACCATGAGTTTGACCGAGAACGCCACTATTGGATAATCGATTCTTCAAGCAGTTAGCTCGACCAGTTAGTTCAAGCCATGTTCTATTCTATACGCCACTCCAATATTTCCCATAATGCACCTTATTTGTTCCCCAAAATTCCGCATAAGCGTTGTTTTCAATTTCTCTTGGGGCGGCTGTAATACCCAGGAGAAATGAAAAACAAAGGTTATACAAAATTTTGGGGGGCAAATAAGGTGCATCATGGGGAATACGGAATTGGTGTAATGGCCATTTTTTGCTCATTTTATGTTATTTTTTCTCTTCCAATTTTCCCGTTTCTTCACCTTTCTTTCAGTTAACTTTGCACTGCTCAAAGTGCTGGACACCTTCTTTGCCGAGTTTAATCCTTTCTTCAGCGTCTTGCAAGCCTTATTTGCTTGCAATTATGTTGTTTAGAACCCTGAGAACGCCGTCTTAAAAAACTTTTTACTCTTAAACATGGAGATAAATGTATTTTATATATCCTTCGCTTTTTTGTTGCGCACTGTAAATTCATTGCATCTCTCTTGAATGTTCCTCTTGCTTAAATTACATTTTTAAGTTCATGTTTTCGGCTGTAGCCAAAAATATATATATTTAATAACTTTAACTGCTTGTCCATGTCTCAACATCGTAAATATGTCTTGTTCGCCCCCCTCACATGCATTTCTGCCGTTTAAATAGTACCCCCAGCAGACCAGCCACTTTCTTCCTTAAAATAACTGGGGTTAAGAGCGACTTTCTGTAAATACCACGGATAGGTGTGCAAGATGGAAAAATCGAAATCCTCCAAACTTTGTCACAACAAAGCCCTTCGGAAACTATTTTAGAAAATACAAAACTCAGTTCGTTTGACTTAATATTTTCCAAAATAATAATTTTTTTTAATTTTCACGTTCGAGAGGCCTTCAAACCACCGAAAAATGTGCTTGATACCCTCGCTTCGTGAATGGAAACGGAAACGAACACCATAACTTTTCTTACATTAAACAATTTTATGATCCTTCCTTTCTACCTAAACGTCGTTACAATTTCAAAAGATTTCAATCTGATTTTTTAATATTTTTTCAAAATTACCTTCTAAATCAGCATTATCGCGACCATCAATTTTGCCATTTTTCAACGGCGAAAATCCCTTCCTGGTACATGGCTTTCATTAAAAAAATGGTATTCTAGAGAAAGAGCAATGTTTCCCCTATCAATCTGTGAAATAAAATTCTGGGGCAATTGAAACTGCGAGTTTTTACAACTGAAAACATTTACGGTACTCGCGTGATTTACGACCTCTGAACTTGCAGTTGTCGTGATGAATACAAGCGAGAACCAAGACAGCACTTGAAACTCTGACGCAAATTAGCCCCTTTTCCGCCAGTTTAAACACCAAAAACGATTTTAGATTTCACAGTGGTAAATTTTCAAAAGGAAAAGCAATTTTATTGTGCGAAAGTGTGCTATGAACTTCTAGACTACAAACACTTCCCTTACGTGCGTATTTGTTTACTTTTGCCGTACACATATGTACGAAATGGCTAATAGTGTCGGTAGCTATTCTTTCAAATGCTCTCATTTCTCATGAACCAAATCGTTATAGCTATAAAAAAAGGAAAACATTTTGACCTACCTCACATTATTTGACAACAGACCCGAATCCTTTACTGCCTTTAGCGAAACGAGATTGCGTGACAAAGAACTTTGAGACCCAGGTTATACCGCGCAGACAGATACCATTCCGAAAAAGAAACTCACGCGGCACCTTCTGTAGCTATAAAAGCGAAACATGTAAAAAATCAAAATCCTTAGTTTCGTTGACTTATCTGCCAGAGCGACCCTGCAAACGTAACACTAAAAAAAGTGTTTTTTCGTCAAAAGACTATATAGGGGTGGGCCCTTATACAGTGGAACCGCGATATAAAGAACCTACGAATGATTTTCTTTACCTCGATAATAGTAAAATATGCCGTAAAACCTATATTAAAGCCCCCTGTCAAATAACCCCCCCCCCTCTGATTAGCCCCCCCCCTCCCGCTTCTATCAAGCACCCGCTTCCCACCCGTAATTATTCTTCACTAATAAATGAAAGACTGTATTAATCAATCACGACCGTAAAGGCTTCGTGTGGACTGATCCGGGATGGTTTATTTACCAACGGGAAGTTCGGATTTGATAATGATTTTCGACTGCATGACCTAAAACTTCCTGTACTTGAGCTTTTCCACTTTGTAGGCTTTATGGAGAAGCGATACCATCTTAGTTTCTAAATTAAACATATTAAGCCCCCCGTCTCTATTAAGCCCCTCCCCCTCAAATAAGCTTGAAATAATAAGCCCCCGGGGGAGCTTAATCGAGGATTTACGGTATGAAAAAAAAACCTCGATATAACGAAACCTCGTTATAGCGAGCAAATTTCAGGGGCACTTAACGACTCTTTTCTGTAAAATATATCATGGGAGAAGTAGATATTGCCTAGAATTTTCTATAGCTTGAGGACGCCTAAAAATTTCTAGACGACCGTTCCGTTCCTGTTCAATTTTCGAAGGTTATCTTATAAATTCCCTACGATTTTCTGAAGTTTAATTTTTCAAATTTTACATCCCAGGTTAGGCTAATTTTTCATAGAAAAGAGGAAGCCTAAAATGGTCGGATTCAAACATGTGATTGAGAGAGGAATCAGAAAAATTCTCACTTTCGTGATACGTTAAATTGCATCTAAAATTTTTGGGAAAATAATATTGAAGCCCTTGTAATTTCAAAAATGCTCAATGCAAGTTTCCCTAGGATGACCGAACAGGAACAAATTTTACAAGCCGCTTAGAATGCATTTCTAGAGATCTAAAAGTACTCTGGGTGCACCATTGAAAAATGTTTTCAATGAATTTAGAAGGAAACCGTCGTTGAGTGGCTCAGAAATTTTTTTAGGCCCTTGGCCCTTCGTTAAATCCAGGTTCCACCGTAGTCTTTTGTTTTCATCACGCTCGTTTTAAAATACGATTATGAATTTCTTACTTGTATTCTTAGGAAAAAGCACTAAGTCGTAGTCTAAAATGTCATCCATCCCTTCCCTCCACCCCCTAAGGGGCCACAGAAGGTTTCGGGGTGGGGCGAAGGCACGCATAACATTTCAGACTAGACATGGCGGGGCTAAAAATCCTGCATAACCTTATAGCACCTCTTGTGTTTAAATTTTCTGTAGTTCTGGCAAACTCGAACAAGTTTTGCATTTCTGAGGAACGTTTTGCCAAAATATAGGTTATGGCACATGTCAAGCCAGAAAAAGTGAGCAGCTTGATAGAAAATGTCAAGTACGACTGAACAACGCCCGTAAAAGCGCCCCTAATGACTTGGGCGGGAGGGGGAGGCTGGGTGGGGAGGGGAAACTCTGAAATTGAGCAAAGAGGACCTAACTCTAAGCACACCGCCTGCTTTTTAGTTGTCCGTTTCCCTTGGCAATAAATTTTACCCACAGTGTCGAGCAACTCTTTAAAGGAGATTGCAAGCCCTTATATTTGGGCCCGTCAGGAACGCTCAGCGGTGAAACCAAAGATCGCGCCCTCAAAAAACTTATTTTAACTTACTGAAAGCTGTTTTTTCTTGACCTATTTAACTTATCGTTAGGAAAGAAGAAAAGGAATCTCATAATTAGCGTATGTATAAAACTATCAAGAAATCTCGAAATTCTGGGTTTTCTAAGAGAACAAATACTTTCGAAAAATTTAGGAGAAAGTCCGTGGACTGGTAATAACTCGCTATCAATTATCCCGAAGATATCCGAATATCTCACTTTTCAAGCCCACGTTAATTCGCTTCATTTTTGAGGGGAGCCAACATTAGCCGCGCCACTGTTATTTTTTTGCGCCTGGGTATCTCACGTTATGCTTACGCGTATCCGCAAGTGTGTCTTACATCCTACGCTTACGTAAAGGTTATACGTGGGCTACGTGTGTAAGACTGTTCCTTTTCAGATTTTCAATAGCAATGCAAAAAACAATAGCTTTTAGTTAGTGCGAACGGCCTTTCCTTCTCTTTTATTTTCGTTTCCTTTTTTTCTCAAAAAACGCAGTTTTTTTTTCAAGGTGCGAGGGGCGCGATCATTGGTTTCACCGCTCCAGCGTTCCAGACGGACGCAACTATACGGCTTGCAATCTTCTTTAAAGAGTTGCTCAAAAATATGAGCGAAATTTATCTCCAAGGCAGACTCACAGCTAAAGCGCAGACGGTATGGTTAGACCTAGGTCCCCTTCGCTCCATTTCAAAATTCCCCCCCTCCCCCTGCCAGAATCATTAGGGGCGCTTATACGGGCGCGGTTCAGTCGTACTTGACATTTTCTATCAAACTGCTCACTTTTTTCTGGCTTGACATAAGCCTATATTTTTCCCAAACGTTGCTCAGAAATGCAAAACTTGCTCGAGGTTGCCAGAACTACTGAAAGCTTTGCTTTTAACACCAGAGGTGCTCTAAAATTATGCAGGTTTTCTAGCCCCGCTATGTCCAGTTTGAAATGTTCTGCGTTTCTTCGCCCCACCCCGAAACGGGCTGCCGCCCCTTAGGGGGTGGAGGGAAGGGACGGATGGCATTTAAGACTAGGAATTAGCAGTTTTTTCCCCCTAAATGTCATTTTTCTAAGGATACAAGTAAGGAATTCATAATCGTATTTCAAAATGTGTAAGCAGGCGTTTATGGAGTAACAGAATATATAAGGGCCAACCACTTCATAGTCTGTTGTGGAAAATATGTTTTTTCAGTCTTACGTTTTCATAATCGCTCTAGCGGATAAGTCAGTGAAACTAAGGATTTTGATTATTTACATGTGTTGCTTTTATAGTTAAAGAAGGCACCGCGTGAATGTCTTTTTCGGAATGGTATCTGTCTTCAACGGACCGTCTTCAACCTGGGTCTCAAAGTCCTTTGTCACGCAATCTCATTTCGTTAAAGGCAGTAAAGGATTCGGTTCTGTTGTCAAATAATGTGAGGTAGGTCAAAACGTTTTCCTTTTTTATAGCTATAACGATTTGGTTCATGAGAAATGAGAGCATTTTAAAGAATAGCTACCGACAATAAAGCCGTTTTGTAGATATATGATAACTGTTACAGATACGGCAAAAGTAAACAAATACGCACGTAAGGGATGTGTTGTAGTCAAAAAGTTCATAGCACACTTTCGCACAATAAAATTGCTTTTCGTTTTGAAAATTTACCACTGTGAAACCTAAAATCGTTTTTGGTGTTTAAACGGGCGGAAAAGGGGCTAATTTGCGCCAGAGTTTCAAGTGCTGTCTAAGTTCTCCCTTGTATTCATCAATACAACTGCAAGTTCAGAGGTCGTAAATCACGCGAGTACCGTAAATGTTTTCCGTTGTAAAAACTCGCAGTTTCAATTGCCCCAGAATTTTATTTCACAGATTGATAGGGGAAACATTGCTCTTTCTCTGCAATACCTTTTTTCTAATGAAAGCCATGTACCAGGAAGGGATTTTCGCCGTTGAAAAATGGGAAAATTGATGGTCGCGATAATGCTGATTTAGAGGGTAATTTTGAAAAAATATTAATAAATCAGATTGAAATCTTTTGAAATTGTAACGACGTTTAGGTAGAAAGGAATGATCATAACATTGTTTAATGTAAGAAAAGTTATGGTATTAGTTTCCGTTTCCATTCACGAAGCGAGGGTATCAAGCACATTTTTCGGTGGTTTGAAGGCCTCTCGATGGTGAAAATTAAAAAAAATTATTATTTTGGAAAATATTGAGTCAAACGAACTGAGTCTTGTATTTTCTAAAATAGTTTCCAAAGGGCTCTGTTGGGACAAAGTTTGGGGGATTTCGATTTTTCCATCTTGCACACCTATCCGTGGTATTTACAGAAAGTCGCTCTTAAGTTTTTAGATATTAATTGAAATCTAAATTGACTGACTGGAGGAAGCGACCATTTTGGACAGATTCGTGGATCCTGTTTGTGAGGAACTAACTGTCATTTTAGCAACTACAGAACAGAGAAACACAAGACAATAAAGGCATTGAACAAAAGTGGCTCGGTGGCTCGTTAGTCACAGATTGACTAGCTAGTGTTTAAAAAAATAGAAAGATATAAGACATATAAGTATAAGATAGACATAAAAAGGAAGTAAAAGTATAAAATTAGAAGGGCAAGTTAAGGTATGTATATATTTTCTTGGCTCAGTCGGGTTCGATGGCTCGTCAATCGGGGTTAGCGTCTCAAGAAGGTGAAAGGTATATAGTTTAGTGGCTCGGCGGCTCGGTGGCTCGTCAGTCGGGACTACCGAGCTACCGAACCGCCCCAACGAATATACCCAAAAAATTTGCTCTGTATTCTGTAGTTAAGCCGACCTGAGATCACGGAATGTGGGTTCTATGTATTTTAGGCCAAAAACGCAATAAAGATAGTCCTATTGAATAATTGAAACATTTTTGGGGGGAGAAAAGCCTTTCTAAAGAATATAATACTAGGGTTCAGTCAGTTAAGCCTTGTATTGAAGATAATCTTCGAACTCGCTAGATGTATACGTGCTAAGCAACAATTTTTAGACAGTGAAACTGTGAAAGGTTTGAACCCAGGAGTCATTTCAAAAGTATGTTGAGTTTGATCGTCCGGGTGAACGTAGTCCTGAGTAGGACTGTTGTTGTTGACAGTGATTGACGTTTCGACAACCTGTGCGGTAGTCATCTTCAGAGTCATTTTGCATGACACCTACATTTGTCACGAAGGCAAAAGCCCAGGGGAGCACTCAAAGAAGTTTAATAAGGGGAGGCACCTCCTCGAAGTCCAACCTGTCACCCTTTTATAATAGCAATAGTTCTCGCTACATCTGCTCCCGCCTTAGATATGACGTTTATCCTAACGTTCAATACTTTTAACTCTTTATTTCTATGCTCTTAGGCTTAATCTTTTTTAAACTTCGCGAAAAACGATATAGTGTTAAGCACAGACAATAGTGACTGGGGCAAAGCACTGACTCGAAATGCTTAGCTTTCATTTAAAGTTAGGTTTGTCACTATAAACATGTAAAACAAATAACTTGCGGTCGAATCCATGGTGTAGTGGTATAGGCGATGGGTTTTCGGTTTCTAGTACAGCGAATCCCGCTTATGCCACATGTCACATTCAATCTTCTTTTTTTAAATTGAAAAAACATAATAATACTTGAAGAGACTTAGACTTAGAAAAATATTAGAAGAGTATAAATTTGAAGAGATTAGAAGTTTCATGTAAGTGTAGCTAAGTGGGGAAGGTGGTTCTGGAGGATGGAATCCAATGCTGACCGGTCACCGACGTTTTTCCAGAATTTCCCAGCCAATTCCTCCTTGCGCGCTTGCTGAACCAGAATTACCCAAGACCGCCTACTGCGCGCACGCTGAAGATTTAACCGGGACCACCTTGCGCGCCTAGTTTCTTCAAGTCGAGAAGATTAACAGCGAAAAAACTGATACTTTCCTAGGCGGGGGAATCTATGGTGCCTCCTCGGGTGAACCCTGCGGGGAAAATAACATTCTTGACAGAAAAGGTACCCCTTTCGTTTTGCCTTTATTGAAAAATAGTACCTAAAAGGATTGTATAGTTTGATTTTTAAAAATCTCATTTCCATCATCTTTAAGTCATTCCGCGCACTCCCTTTCGCGTTACACACAGTTATGACCTGCATTATGGAGCATGGCAATTTTTACTGATACCGAAAACTAAGCTCACATCACGGCTAAAAATACCGGCATTATTTGCATAAATAAACATTTAACAATATGTCTCATTACTGACCGCAATGATCATTTCATAAAACGGGCAAATAATGGTTGGAAATGGAACCATGAAATTACAGTGACTGTTTGCGTTAAAAGGATCGTGTAATTAAAAACGTATTCATATACATTTCACAGCACAAAAATTACATCAATCAAATAGAACAGTTCCATAGGCATTAACAATGACTAATCGTCGATAACTTAAAAACATTCATGCTCTAAAACCTGCCAGTCGAAGTCGCTCATTTATACATTGCAGACCTTACGCATGCAGTAATTGCAAGTAGAACTTCTTTGTTGAAATTATACAGTTCTTTTAAACTTTCGCTAGCCTGCGTAGCATGGCGGTTTTGGATTGGCGAGCAAAGTAAGAAAGGCGGGCGAGGGCAGAGAAACCGCGAGGAGATTGGGGCGATATCAACTTGAAAACCAACTTAGTGCCATCTCGTCTAAGTTATCGCTGTGAACGTGCTATAATGTATTTTGACACCTTAAAAAAAAACAACAGCACTATTCGCTTGCAAGTAAAATTTCATGCGACAGTTGAACCTCAAGGTTAATTACCTACGATGCAAGCAGGGGTTAGGGCATGGAATCGAAGATTATTAATAATGTCATTTTAGTTTACTTGGATCGTCATACAGTGGATGTCGTGTCCTTGATCTTGTTGAAACACAGCAAATATTCAAACCTTAATAAACTGGCTATGTGTTAGATTCCACATAGCCACTGTTCTTTTATCCATCACTTTCTTATTCTTTGCGAAAAATTAAGGCAATGAGTAATTAAAAGTTTGTTGCTGCAAACAGTTGATGAAATAGTGGTCGTTGTCGATGTCCGCTGTCCGCGTTGACGGATATTCGTCTCTTGACTAGGTTGAATTCAGAAACAAATTATAAGATAGAGTTTTCTGTGGAATCAAAGAAAACTCTACGTAGTTATGGAGTGTCCGTAAAGCGGGTTTGACTTTAATTCTCTCCTGACCAACAGTTTTGGTTCTTTTTGCTTCTTTTATAACAGGTGAAATCATCTTGGTGATTATAGTATCTGCTTACATTTCCACATGGCACTTAGAACTGTCTTCAACTTTTTTTACCATTAAAGTTTTATGCCAAAGCGTTGTTCCCATTTTCTTTTCAGCTTGATAATTGGCAAGTAATATCACTTTTTTGGTTGACGGCTTTCTTAAATGCAGCAGTTTACTCCCACGCTCCATAGCAGGAGAGCGTATCAATATTATTATATTGTGGTAAATGTATGCGAAAACACTATCAGCTTGATATGTTTAACCGTCTTTAAGAACACGAACCAAAGAGCCATGTAGCGGTAAGGCATTTCCGCCTTGAGATACAATGAAGAGTATCGCCGCATTGGTGTTTATTCTAATGTTGCTTTTAGCTGATTGCAAAAATGAAGCTGAGGAAGGAGACATAATGGGCTGTAGAGACTTCTGCTGTAAAAACGCCAGCAACATAACCCTGACTGAAGCTTTCAACAAATGCTGTAAGGAGGCTGAAGAATGCCTTTGGCCAAATAAGTTTTACACATTACCCTGCAGGTTGCAGATAATGGATTCGTTCGTAGGAAACCAAGCAAATATCAGCGCAATAAAACAAATACGAACTGAATGTTGTACAAACTTTTCCTGCCCAGAAAACAATTCTATAACACCAAGAACAAATTGTACAAAACGATTCAAAATAAACGTCAAATGGGAAAAAGTGAATTTTGAAGCGAAGTACGATCTAGTCGAAAGGAAATGGAAAAAAGAAAAGTGGTCATTTCTCCTGAAAATGGTGTCACAAAAGTGCTTAGAAACATCAAATGTCAGAAGGCGTCCGGATGAAATTACGTATACATACCCCTACTACACCGCTAACGATAGAGAAAGGACTGTGCTTAGATATGAGTCTCCACCTGCATATTTGGTAGACGAAAAAGAATCTTTCACCATGTTTACGGTAGTAAGTTCCTCTTTTAACCGAATGTGGGCAACACTGTTGCTATGTGTCATCTGGAGTTTGATATCAGGAGTTATTATATGGATACTGGTGAGTAAATATATCGCTTTCGTATATTTAATGTAGCTTTTTATTTGTGCGGCATGCAGTAAGTGCGATGTTCGATGCGCGCGACTAACTGATTGAAGGAGCTGAAAGAGAGCCGATACTAGTTAAAAGGAAGTGCTCTTAGGCGAGACTAACGCTACGACAAGTACTATGTAAAACCGCTTAAACAGTGAAGGTCAGCAGGTGAAGTTGGAGTTAACATTTTAGGAAATACAGTGTCTTGTTCTGTTCATATCTATAAAAGCACTCAGACATTTTGCGTAATATTTTAAAGCTCGCTGTGTATTATTTTAAAGCTCGTCGGTTGAAGAAATCTTCTAACAGAAAACGGCTGAAAAATTACACTAAAACGTACATTGTGAGCTGCCTTTTTAGCATGTTCCAGCTGTCGGTATTGTCTTTAAGGCGGGTAGGGGGATGGATGAATAGATGATATTTTTTCCGCTTTTTACAAGTTGCTCGAGCCTCCTCACTTCAATAATTTTCTAAGATTTTTAGACACATATTGACGAAAAGCGATAGCCTGTTCTATGAAATTAGATGCTATAAGGGGCATAAGGTTAAGCTGTTATTAAGCAAAAAAAAAAAAAAAAAAAAAACGAAAAGGTATGAATGTTTCAAAATATCTTGTACTAAAGTGTAGTTAGTTCATTATTTTAGCACCTTAAAGATACATCTAAATTTTTTTGTTAGATCCAAAATAGTATCAAAGGTACCTAGCAACGCCATCTACCTTAGTGATTACATCACCTTGAAGAGCTCATTAGTTTCTTTATATTCTTTAAAAAGAAATTTTCATTGCCCTTATTCATTGTATTTAATTCATAATCAGGATCATAGAGCAAACCAGCGCCAGTTTCCCTCGTCTTTTTGGGAAGGAGTTCGTGAAGGAGCCTGGTGGGCAGTGGTCACAATGACGACCGTTGGGTAAGTAGAAAGAGTACCGCCGCGTGATATGAGTAGGAAACCCCTTATTTGTTATCAAAAGTTTATAAATAAAATTGCTCCAGTTGCGTTAAGCAATTCATACCCGCACTTATGGCCCATAGGATCACCATTCTTGTTTTTAGTTACCCCTAGAGCTCATAATAATGCCGGTGGATTCATGGCAAGAACAGCGCTAGCCTTCCTGGAAAGGTCGATGGATATAGGAGACAGATTAAGTACGATCTCAGTTCTGGCCCTCCACGTTGGGGTTTCATCATATGGGTTAAATACCATGTTCTCTAAAGAGGCAAATGTTGTAAACCGACAGCAATTGTAATGAAAATCTGAAAGCTCAAATGGGGAAGGTTGCCGTGTAGGAAAAAAAAAAAGAAAGTCCGCAAAACTAAGGTCCATCATATAATGGCGGTTATTGAGGACTATGGTAGCAGTGGCAGATCCAGGGGAGGGGCCCGGTCCCCCCCCCCCCCCATTTTTAGACCAAACTGAGGACCGAAGGGCCGAGAAAATTTTTTTTTTGCGACCGCCCCCTTATCTCAGGGTCTGGATGACCGTGTCCCCCCCCTTATCTCGGGGTCTGGATGACCGCCCCCCCCTTATCTCAGGGTCTGGATGACCGTCCCTCCCCCCCTTATCTCGGGGTCTGGATGACCACCCCCCCCTTATCTCGGGGTCTGGATGACCGTCCCGCCACCCCTTATCTGAAGGTCTGGATCCGCCACTGGGCAGAGGCGGAGGTGAAGTAACACAAGCGACCAAAGAGATGACGACATATCAGACCATTTAGTGTTAGGAGTGAGTGAAACTAGATGGACGTTTACAGGATCGATGAGGCTGCTAAGATGACGAGGCATGTAAAGGTGGAATGGCCAAAATGATCAGCACGAGGGTCAAGTAAGCGTTGATGGAATGGATACTAATCAATCAGAAGAATGGTGAAGGCACGGTTCTATTCGAAATAAACAACGCTGCCTGTGATACAAGCATTGGCACTGGCGATTAAAGCCAAACTAAAGGATAACCATTGCTGCAGGATACTGAAGATCCTCAACAATCAAGACATGATCTCAGGGATGGGAGCCCTAAACACCAATTACGCTCAGGGAAGATAACACAATGTTGGAGTTATGAATAACAGCAGTGAGAGGCCATGCGACCTATGCAGTATTGATGGTCTAATTATAAGTATCATTGGAACGCTATTCCTGCAACTAAACCTGCAAAAAGAGATTCACCAGGTGGCCATCTTTTAGTAAATGGCTGCATGAGAACATCAACAATGGGAGGGAGTAATGATGATAGCGGTCAAATGCAGTGACTACCTCCTGGTCAAAACTGAAATGGAGAGAAGACGAAAGGGAGAAGTTTGAAGCAAGTAAGCTGCAGAGTGAGAAGATCGCTAAGAGATGAAAGTTGAGGTAAAGAAAAGACTGAGCGTTGATATAATGGACTTCTGATCGAACTGGTTCGGGCTCTTCCCATTCAGCCCAAAATCCCAAATTTCGGTTAGAAACCAAATGGAACGACCATTTTGGTACAGTCCGACCGGAATATTTGGGACCACCTTTGAAGGTGCTCCAATTTGACCGGTCAGCTGATGATGGTTTTAATGTCGTTCACCACAGGGTCTTAATCCATAGTTCGGCTCATGGCAGTCCACCGTATTGGTTTCCGTTAAATTCTCCCCACGTCCCGAAAAACTATGAAATATTTCACATGATTTCCGTAATTCTTTTGTATAACAAACAGATTTTGGCCAAATTTCTCGATCTTTCTGTCTGATCTATCACATGCAAAAAACCAACGATCACTTGCCTCGAACTTGCGGCGTTTTGCCTAGCTTTTGCGAAAGTGATCTTTGACTCAAGAAAGCGCGTTTTTTTCTGGCGGGAACTACATGGTTGCTCAGTGCCCTGATTAATAAC